GCTCCATCTTGACAAAATACTACTCGATTGTTAATGCAACGTTCTGAGCGCCAGTGTTTAAATTCGAATCATCCTCTTAAGAAGTGACTTGTAGTCTGCAAATTAAACTGTTTTAGGTATGTTTTATCATCAATGACATATAACAGTGTAGGAATAATTCTCATCTCTTGAACATTACTGAATTTTAGCAGGTAGGTGAAGATCAAGATTCTCGTCTTTTGTTCTCTCATTGTGAAAAAATGGTGGTTTGTTTGTCCTCCATGTGTCTGCCAATCACAGCTCTCCCCGAGGGGGCTCCATCAATCAGTTAGCCCACATCCCCCTCCTATCAGTCTAGACATCAACAGGCAATGCGGGGGGCATCTCTCTCGTTCAGAGTTAAATATTGCAGCGCTCAAGTTCAGACAGTCTAGTTCCACATCAGCCCCAGAACTGTTTGGTGGCAAAAGACCTCAAAAGGAGGACAAAAATGGGAGTGCATGGTCCCTGACTAATGTTAGAGAGGGGCTGGATAGATATCAGAGGAAAAAGGATAAATACCTGAGGTGTGCAAGCATGCAGGGTTGAAGCAATGGTTTATGGGATTGAAGCCAGCGCTGACAGCATGTGTAACTCTGAGAAGACAGCACTCAGTGAGATATATTGGCAGGGTGTAATAAAGAAGGTAAAGCAGACTGAGATCTGACCTGATGCGAATGACTCCACGGCGTGCTCTCACTCAGGTCCTCTCCTGTACTTCAGGCAATCAGCGAGAGACAAGGTTATTCTTCCTGAAAGTGTCCTTCAATCAACCACCCACAGAGATACACATCCACAAACGTTTTTTTTTTTCCTTGAAAAAGAGCATTTTATTAAAACAAAATGCATATTTACATTGCAGAGGTAACTTTCCATATGTTGGCACAATATCCTGTACCTTTACAAAAGAGGGGAATGTATACAAAAATGCTTTTAGGTGCATAATTGAGATACAAACGCTTTGGGACACTCAAAAAGGCAAAGTTGAAAACCTTTGAGCTGTAATAACAGATAAAATAACTGCATGTGCTATGAGTAACTAAAAATAAGCTAAATATAAAGCTACCCCAGTCTTAACGCTCATACGTTTTTGCCTTTCCAGAGTATTTTGGGGGAAAAAATGTAGTTTGACAGTAACATGGCGGCTTTAAATTTCACAAACCTGTAGAAAAGTACAAGCCATAAAGGGATGCAATGTCATTTTTACATGTACAAAGGTAAAAAAAAAATGCCCACATACAATTTTAAATAATGACATACACAACAACATGCTGAACATGTAAATTAAAAGGCAGCCATCAGTCAGAGAGAAACGGAGAACTTGATGGGAGTTGCATAAAATCTGCTGGGATAGCTGCTGCACCCTCTTCCAATGTGGAGCCAAGAAAAGGCTGTGGAAACAGTATTTTATCAAAGGCTGTATTGTACCGTCACACTTCGCTGACAATCACGACAGTCTCAACAAAAGCACTTTACAAAGCTCGTCAGTTTCACAATAGTCCCTTGTCCGATCAACCAAAGCTGCATGTATCTCTAGCCGGTGAATATAACATTTAGTGAATACTGAAGATCTTAGGTAATATCATGTTCTTTTTTTTAAATTACAGTTTGCACATTTTATAACCCCTTTGAAACCAAGACATTTTTTAAACTTCAAATTCATCCACTTTGACATTCTCTTTCACAGTATTGCATTTCTCTGAGATCTGCCAGGATTACTTTCTTCACACAACCTACAACCAGGGGTGCCAGGCAGGATCCATGCGGCACAGGTTGTCCAGGCTGTTGGCGCCGCCACTAGCGTGTTTACTTTACTCTCACCACCTCAAACTGGGCCAAGTTGTGAAGGCGGTCATGATGGCGGTCACAGCTTTCTGGACCAGAGACACCAGCTGTTGGCTGTCCATGTTCTCAGGTTGTCCAGCTGGGGACAGAGGCATGGATGTATCCTCTTGTGTTTTCTTATGCCAAGCGATGATTTCGTCCCGAAGAACTGCTTTCAAGATGCCATCGACCTGATTGAGAGGTGACACAGATTGAGAGTGGGTCAAGAATCCTAGCAAATGAAAGCGTCTCATTCTTCATTATTCTTTTCGTAATGCGTACCTTGAAGTTAGGCTGAGCAAAGCAACGTGCAACCGCTATCATGGAAGCCGTGAGGGGCCCAGATACGCCGATGGTGGTCAGGAACTCAGAGATGTTGGGCGTCAACCTGAAGGGGACGGGCCGGTTGGCATCCAGATCACCAGTGGCATCATTAATATCGAAGCGGAAGTATGATACGTTGAGTTTTCCTGTGTCCTGTTGGGGGAAAACAACACAGAGTAGTGTCATTTAATTAATCTCGGAGAACCTGACCTTGTAGACCGAGACTTCAGCTAACTTTGAGAGATAAATATCATGTGGCACCAAGTCATTAGTTTCCATCCAGAGAAATAAAGCAAATTTGGGAAAGGAGCCCATTTGTTCATGTGGGACCAACATCAGAAAACAGCTAATCTATAGCACTCTAGGAAAAAATGGATAGCGTTGTAGACATCCGACCACAAAAATGTGAGGAAGTATCGATCCTACACCCAATGTGGTCTGCATCAGCATTTCAGCATATGAACAAAAGTCTCCATTTGCCTTCTGATGCCCTTGACGTAGAGCGTCGTCATCACTAATAAAGCATTTCACACATAACATGCTTAAAGGAGTAGTTCACTTTAAAAAAAACCTTTTGCTGCTAATTTATTCACCCCCATGTCATCCAAGATGTCCATGTCTTTCTTTCGTCAGTCGAAAAGAAATTAAGGTTTTTGATGAAAACATTCCAGCATTTCTCCATATAATGCACTTTACTGGTAACCAAACGGTTCAAGGTCCAAAAGACAGTTTCAGTGCAAACTGAAAACTGTCCAAAGGGCTTTAAACAATTCCAGAGGGTCGTATCAAGCGAAATGATCGCTCATTTAAAAAAACAAAAAACAAAGTTTAAGTTTTATAAGCTCAAATGGTCACCTTGCATCTGTGATGCGCACTCGTGATTCTCCTGTTTGAACTCGTTTATCAAAATGAACAAATCTTTTTTCAAGTCATTTGGTTCATTTAACGAACGAAATGAACAAATTGGGAAAAGATTCGTTCATTTTGATGAACGAGTTTGAACAGGAGAGTCACAAACGCGCAACACAGAACAGAACAGGGCGAGCATTTGAGCTTATAAAACTTAAACTTTGTTTTTTTTTTGTTT